TTTTTTTTGCTAACACCGATAATGATCGCAGGACATGGACATTGTCAATGTCGATTTCGAATGGTTCGACCCTCAGCCGATCGATTTCCACGGCCTTAAGGTCCTCCTCCGCCAGCTCTTCGACTCCGATGCCCAGATCTTCGACATGTCCGCGTTGTCGGACATGATCCTCGCGCAACCGTTGCTGGGATCAACAGTCAAGGTAGACGGTAACGAGTCGGATCCGTATGCCTTCTTGACCGTGCTCAACCTCCAGGAACACAAGGTACGCTTCGCGAGAGCAACGCCCAAGAGAGAAAGTCGCTCGCTAATACCCAGAATAGGACAAACCCGTCATCAAGGATTTGATATCCTACCTCCAGCGTAAAGCGTCATCGAACCCCGACCTCGCCCCTCTTTCCCAGCTTCTTTCTCAAACACCTGTTCCTCCGATCGGATTGATTCTTACCGAGCGATTGATCAATATGCCCGCCGAGGTGGTTCCTCCGATGTACACCATGCTGATGGAGGAGATTGCGTGGGCTATTCAAGACAAGGAGCCCTACAAGTTCTCGCACTACCTGATTGTCTCTAAGAAGTACGAAGAGGTTGAGTCGAAGTTGGACATGGAGGACTCGCGGCCGCAGAAGAAAAAGAAGAAGTCGGCTGATAAGGTTGAGAAGTTCTACTTCCACCCTGAGGATGAGATTCTGGAGAAGCACACGCGGTGCTTCGGGTCTATCGAGTATACACATAAGCATGATGAGGGACACTCGGATTCGAAGCGCGCGTTCCAGGAGGTGGGTATCAGGACCAATGGAAGTCTGATGCTGTTCGATGCAGATAAACTTGAGGGTGCGATCAACGAGATGAAGGACTTCTTGCAGCCTCCGGTATGAGTTTGATGGTTACGGCATGGTTTATGATGTTAGAAAAAAGTTGCTCTGCGCCTTGTCCATAGCGTGTCTATATCCAGGTTTTGAAAATACATTAATAACTCTATGGTCTCCTTTTCTGGGGTTCAAATATGTTCATGCGTTTATGGCTGGTTCTATCTTCGTAAATCTTCGTCCATTCGTTTATTCCCATTGAGTTCCCTTCAGGCGTTGCATAAGGTATTCAACCTCTACGACCTTAGTCAAGGGGATGACATATTCCTAGACGGGATTAGTATGTTGCTAGCCAAGAAAGGAAGGGAGAGTAGTTTCTCACCTTGTACATGGCAACCACGGCCTCCACGTTGATCTTGGAGCCGGTCTCGGTCGCGAATGCGGGATCAGTTCCGTAAGTCTTCGCCTTTAGCGCCAGTCTCTCCAGCACCTTCCGCTCGACCTTTGCGTCGGTAATAGCGTCATCGATTCCAGCCCGATCATTCGCCTTGATCATCTTGACGAATCGCTCCGGCTCCTTCTGGAACTTCGACTCGGCCACGAACTTGCCGAAGTGAATGCGCCGAGACAGCGCCTGCAGACAGCTAACGTCGGCGGTCGCAGCGGACCCATAGTTCTCCTGCGTCTCGCCGCGATCCTCGCGTCCAAACTGCGGACAGACAGCGGGAAGAATATCCTCGATGTAGCGCTGTTTGATGATATCGTTGACGTTCACGTCATTGTCATGGAGAATCTTGGGATACTCCAGCGGCGCTAGGATCGGTTCTTCAAGGACATCCGGGAAGAAGGGATATTCATCCGGGGACTGGTAGCGACGCACGCGCGACTGGATACGCTCCTGCTCGCGGAGCAGATAGTCCATGAGAGGGATGTCATCGGGGATCTTGACACCGCCGGGGACGTAAATGGGCCTGTTGAGGGGAAATTGGACGCGCTCGATCAGGTGGAAGGTGATGGTGTCTTCAAGACGGCTGTAGCATTACACATGATCAGCTCAGGGAAGTCACAGAGATTTCGGGGTTCTGTGGTCGTTTTGGTGTCTGGTCTAGACGGCAGCCGTGCGACTGCGGGGCAACGTGTAAGCCGTGGGAAATAAATTCCTTGCGACTTACATCAATTGGAACCGGATGTTGGCTAGATCCAGGGCCTTGGAGGCGTCTGAAAGGTCAATGGCCGTGTCCATGATTCTTTTTTTTTTCTGTATTCTCTGATTTTTTGTTCTAGTACTCCGTAGTTGGTTGTGGTTTGAATTACTCGTTCGTTTTGTTGCCGACAAGTGAGTGTCTCCTGCGGGGCCCCGATTGCGCAGAGCAATATTCCTTTTCCTCGAGTCCACTGGTCGTCGGGCTAGGAAGGAGTATACCGAGTATTATGAATACCTCGAGGTTCACACGATTTATGTCGAGGTCTGCTCAGCTAAGCATGAGTCTGACAATTAGTAATTGGGGGTTGTATCATCGAATAATATATACAAAGAACCATTTACGAGGGCTTTTATAGCAGGGAGCACCCTTCATAACCCTTCCTAAACCGGAGTACAGAAGCCTGCGTCGATTTAGGGAAACGCGCTAAGCCGCCGATCCATCGTTTCGCAGGGAAAAGAAAGGAAACAGAAACCAGAACATAAGTAGATGTCTGGAGGGCATTCATAGAGCATCAACTGAAAGGATCGCATTACGAAGGATCACAGATTGATCCGATGGTCATCTCGAAATGTTGCTCTGGCTGATGCCGTCATGTGGTAACTTTCATTTGCAGGGGGTTTCAAGTCTAGATTTCAGTACTGACGGTATTACAACTTATAAAGCCAAGCATTAAGAATGGATTCGGACTGGGAAAAAACAAATAATTTCTGAAGAAGCTGCAAACCCACATTTTACAATCTTCTACTGAAGCTCACAAACACTCACACTGTCCTTATCGACGACTTTCATGTGCTACGGTTCTTGATCCGCGGTAATATTACGGTACATAGTTCAGGTTCCGGCAACGCGGTAATTCATTTATCGCGTGCAGCTCCAGCTGAAAGTTCTCTTCCAGAGAGCCGAAAAATAGAGCAAGTGCACTGCCGACTCTATTCGACCTGCCCTGCTTTGCCTCCCCCCTCTCCAAACCTTCCGCATGGGCTTTTAACCCCCCAATAACTGCTCAGGTCGGTGATATGGACAAACACCGCCGCGATGAGTCGCCTTCTGGTCTGTCAGATATTGTCGAGCATGACGGTCTTCTAGGGACCGGCCTGACGGTAAGTCCCTACGGACCTCTATATCTGCCTGTTCTCTCCAGTCGCCCAATGATCCGCTGATAGATCCTTCCGGGACTCAGACCAGACATATCGAGGCCTTCGGGAGGAAAGTAACGTCGACAGCCGGGCATTTAATGGGCCCTACGGCCGACGGGAATCCCGCCCATTACCACAATGCGATGGCGGATATTCAGCGCGAGCTGCGGCGGCCCAACACGCAGCGCAGAGTATTCGCCTTGACTCAAACCACGCCGACCGATCTGGTCCGCTCCAAGCTGTCGACTTCCGAAATCCAATCGCGAGCTCTCTCCTCTCTCCCCGACGACCTCCTTGCGAACATCCCCGACGACAGCAGCTCCTACTCCCTGTTTGAAGGCTTCCAGGCCTCCCAAGACGATATTGAATATAGAAAGGCCCATCGGCGGCGCGTTTCCAAATCGAAGAAATTGTTGAAAGATGGCGAAAACCGGGCGGCCCTTCCGTCCACCCCGGCGGACCTGAAGAAGGAACGCGATCTGTTAAGTCGCCGCATGCAACTGATGGGTGTACGCAAAAATATGTGCAGCTCGGAGATACACGATATAGACAACAAGATCGCGAACCTTCACAACATGCGCAAGATTGTTTTGGACCGGTTGGCTGGACTAGAGATGGAGGAGGCGGAATTGGAACACGAACGTGGGTGGACTTGGCTCGATCGTCGCAGTTTGATTCTGACTTTGGGTAACAGTGACCGAGCTCGAAAATAAACTTGAGGATATTGAAGAGGAGACACCGGAGGCTTCTGCTGTTTTGGGCACTCCGAAATCATCCGCAAATGATGAATCGATGGGCTCCGAGGATCCGGCCATGGACGCATCTTTCATGTCGGAATCAATCTATCAAAAGATTCCATCGCCGAAGAGCCTGAAGCACAAATCAAAAAGTACGTCTCTTCGGACCGTTTCCATTAGACTATTGGCTAACACTTTCAGGAAAACGGTCTATGCCTATTTTACACGAGCATTTCAATCCCGGATCGTTGATTAAGGAGATGGAAGCGCATACCGATATGGTGACTGCCATTGATTTTGACTATCCTTTCGGCACAATGATTACCGCAGCGTTGGATGATACCGTGCGAGTTTGGGATCTCAATGTTGGAAGGTGTACTGGGTTTTTGGAGGGGCATAACGCATCGGTTCGATGTCTCCAGATCGAGGACAACATCGTGGCTACGGGTTCTATGGATGCCTCAGTCAAGCTTTGGGATTTGAGTCGCGCCCGCTCTAGACCTCGAAGCAGCCGCATTAACAAGCAAGAGGACGAAGAAGACGCTGCTGACGATGCTTCCCAAGTATCCCATTCAACGACGTTGGAGGATTGCCACGTATTTTCACTAGATTCCCATGTCGGTGAGGTGACAGCGCTCCATTTCCGAGGTGACAACTTGATCTCTGGCTCGGCTGATAAGACTCTGCGCCAATGGGATCTCGTCAAAGGACGTTGTGTACAGACATTGGATGTTCTTTGGGCGGCAGCTCAGGCGGATACATTGAATGGAGACAGCACATGGCGACCGTCCGGACGCGTACCAGACGCATCTGCAGACTTTGTGGGGGCGCTTCAATGTTTCGATGCCGCCCTGGCTTGCGGTACTGCCGACGGCATGGTCCGTCTGTGGGATCTGCGCAGTGGCCAGGTTCACCGTAGTCTTGTTGGCCATACAGGCCCCGTTACATGCTTACAGTTTGATGATGTGCATCTCGTGACGGGAAGTATGGACCGTAGTATTCGGGTATGTTGCTGCTGACTCCGCGAGGATATGGATGCCATTGCTGACATGTTTTAGATCTGGGATCTCCGTATGGGATCTATCTACGACGCATTCGCCTACGATAAACCTATCACTAGCATGAAGTTCGACGCGAAGCGAATTGTGGCTGCTGCAGGAGAGAGTGTGGTGAAGGTTTACGACAAGGCGGACGGCAACCACTGGGACTGTGGTGCCGGTGTTGGTGTTGACGAACAAGGACCACTTCCTGCGACCGTTGACCGAGTGTGCCTCAAGGACGGATTTCTCATTGAAGGTCGCCAGGACGGTATTGTTGGCGCGTGGACGTGTTAGAAATGATTCTATGAGGCATTGGCTCTGGGACGTATTTGGATGTACATGCGGGCACTTGTCTTTATATTTCCTGTGAAGTCTCAGGAGCATCTTGAATGTGTATATTATATGTCAGCAATGTTCTAGAAGCGAAATAAAGCTGTCCAGGACCGACAGCATTTGTAAAGTGTCTTTCGTGAAGTGATCGTCTCTTAACACATTGAATATAAATGACTGAGAGTAAATTTAGGGTAATGGTAAAGGATACTGAAACAGAAGGCAAGCCCCAACCATTGTGTTTCTTTAGACCTTAAAACCGTGCTATAAGAACTTGGTATCCCAATTTTTAGTCGCCAACTGGTCAATACACGGGTCGAACTTTCTGCCTTCTGTAATTTGGGTGGGGCGAACAAGTCACGCTTTACTGGATCAGGGATTCTACTGACTTGCATACCAAATACTTACTCGGACTCCGCGACAGCATCGACACCGCAAGGTTAGCGTTAAATACACCAAAACGCGTGCTAATACAGTCGCAAAGCAGTGAAGAATTGATTGTGATCTCTCATAGCTTCTTTGAACCGCTGTGCGCTCTGCAGACTGCACGCTGGTGTTGACCATCAGTAATCTCCGCCCGCGTCGCATCCGCGCGCTGTGTTCCTTCTCGTGAATGAAAGCGAAGCTTCATCATTCGCTACCTCAATATCTCAATTAAGCAGCTTCTCTGGTCCCTTTAATCGACTTTATATTGAGGGAGTTAAAGGGGTCGTTGTGTGGGCCGCTCCTTGTGCCGCGGTTGTGGTGCGCCTCTCTTCAACTTTACGAAGACTCCATCAAGGCGGCGACTCAGTCAACATTCTAGATTGCCTCTAATCGATGTGCAGTACTTGATAGGTAAGGACCCACTGAGCTGCCAACTGTAATATTATACTCTCCGACTGGTGCTCCCACAACCGCCGTTGAGTATTGAATCAGTGTTGCCATACCCTGGATGCGACAGCACTGTGATTCACTTTCGAAGGGCTTACTGTAAGTGTGCATGCTTTGTTTTCCCTTCTCCCGGGTTGCAAGTACCCTGAAGCCCTTACGGCCAATGTATCATTCTCATTCATGCAATCTTGACTAACATTGCTCTCAGGGCACTTTACGTTAATTTCTCACGAAATAGACGTTTGTCTCCAATAAGAGACCATCAACATGCCCCCTAAGCGCGCTTCTACTCGGCGTGCTGGAGCTGTGACTCGGACCTCTGACCGTGGGACTCCTTCGTACATCCCTAACATGTCAAGTCCAGATGCGAGGAACCCTGCCTTGCCTGATATACCGACCAAGCAATCGTTCGCCTATGGCTCATCAACAACACCAATTCTTCCCCGTGAGCTTGCGGCGAAGCCGAGGATGAATCTGGTTGAGATGGCAACCAATATCGATGAAGGCCGCAGGGTCGCCCAAGATCGAGACTTTGACAGACCTCACATGAACACACGCTCCCGAAGGCAATCTGTTTCTGCAAGCTTATCCCCTGTTCGGCGAAGCCGGCGTGAGCCAACTCCAGATCAGTTGCAGCTGCTTGATTCGCTACGTGAAGCCACTATGTCTCCTAATCCTAATGGCCAAGACCATGGAGAGCAATCTACTCCCACTCCTACTCCTCCTATCCCACACACTTTGTCCACAGCATCCAGTCCTGCCACTGAATCTCTTACGAACCCCAAATACCCTGTCTTGACTACTGACCAACTTTATCCGTCTCCACTTCTGCGGTATGGATCACCTGCTCGGAATGCAGTCTCGCTGAGCTCACCCAATTTTGCAACCTCTGTCGACAATGAATCAGTCATCTCGTGGAACGTAGAACGTGATATCCATGAAGATGATCTGCAACGGACACGTCCGAATGGGTATCTTGATGGACCGCATGGAAAGAACATTACAGCTCCTCCCCGCCGGTTTTCAGGCTTCGCGTTTGCCCAAGAGCCTATTGAAGAAGTTGACGAACCGACTACCCAGCTCTCTATCTCTAAATCACGTTCTCCCGAGGCTGCGACAGTCGACATTCAGCCTAAGCCTGAACCGCTGTCAGAGTCCGAAGTGGCGCTATCGCCTGAGTCCACGCCCTCGCCCGAACCAGAGCCAGAACCAGAACCGGAGCCAGAAAGTGAGCCAGAGCCTGAACGCGAGCCCACTCCCCCTCGTGCTCCGGCTCCGGCTCCGGCTCCAGCACCCAGGATCGCATCCAAACCCGAGCTTTCTTCAGCTCCCACAAGGACAATCATTCCCAGCAATCCTATCCGGGAGCCTTCATTTGATGAAAGCACGTATGAGAACGCGTCCCCGTTACGGGAACGTGTCAAAAGCAACGTGCGCTCAGTAGGGAATGCAGCAATGAGCTTTCAGAAAGGCTTGCCTGCCAAAGCACTCACTCTGGTGGTACTAGCAGCAGCTATTCTCACCGCATGCCTTTTTGGCGACCAAATTTCCACCATTTCCTCCAGTATCGGCTCGCATCTTCCATTGTACGGAGGCCCATTTCGCGATTTGAATGCAACTGCATTGCAAGCAGTCCACGGTCTTTCTAACAAAGTGGTTCGCCTGGGAGAGGAAGTGTCCTCGCTGTCTAGGGAGGTGGATGTCATTAAATCTGAGGTTGAACATGTACCTCCTCCCACCACCATTGTCCAACCAATCCCAGCTCAACAGGAGACTCCAAAAACCAATTTTCTATCTATAGGCATGGGTGTTCTTGTCGATCTGTACAACACAAGTCCCACATCTGGGCGGTCTGTAGGCTTGCTGCACAAGCTCCACTCTCAACTTTTGTCTAGAGGCTCGCAGCGACAGCCGGAGCCTCCCCTTGCAGCTTTGACACCCTGGCAGGACGTGGGAGAGTGTTGGTGTAGCAAACCTCGCTCTGGTATGTCTCAGCTTGCACTGCACCTGGGGCGTGAAATCGTACCAGAGGAGGTGGTCATAGAACACATACCGAAGGGGGCAAGTATCCGACCAGAAGTTGCACCTCGGGATATGGAGCTATGGGCTCAGTTCCAGATCGTCGATGAATCGAACTCTGAATCGTCTCCTTCCCCCAATCCTTCACGCAAATCCGGGATGTTATCTGAGCAGTTTTCTCTCCACGACCACATCATTGATACCCTTCGCTTAGCTTATAAAGGTGAACCAGAGGGCGCATACTCGAACGACGAACTCCTGGGACCTTCATTCTATCGCGTGGGGCAGTGGACTTACGATCTCCATGCCTCGAACCATATCCAGAAGTTCGAGCTAGACGCTATCATTGATGTTCCAGCGATCCGAGTGAACAAAGTGGCTTTCCGGGTTAAGTCGAACTGGGGTGGAAACGATACATGTCTGTATCGGTTGAAACTATACGGCCACATATAGGCGACTAAGCTTACATTTCAGATACCTTTATGTTCCTTTTTCTTTCCTGGTCCTGATAGGCGGTACTTCGCTCTAAGACGGGAAAAGCGGTGTTATGGCGCCCGCCAATCCCTCGTTCCATTCCTGGGTTTGTTCGCTTTGATTTGCAATTCGAGTCCATCATGCAGTTTGGCCTGGGGCATGATACCCAGTTGCACGGTTCGCTTACTTTGATATATCTACTCATTCTTTGGATGCATGGCATAGCACGGAAGGGGCGTTACGGTCTAATTCGAGATATCCAGCTCAATTTTTAGTCTCTGCATTTTAGTACAGCCCCACCTAAGATATGCTTCTACGGCTTTTTCATGCAATATGTGTTTCTAAACCGTAATGGAACAACTCTGAGTAGTCTTTAGAAGAGTAGTGTATATCACAGATCAGGGTTTCAACCAAAACTGTATCCTTCCAACTGGAATCTCAATACCTAAGTATGTTATATTATGCCAGCACTAAAAAAAGATATTCTCCTTAAATATAATGTTACCTCAATGAATGGTAACACTTTGAACCTGTCCTGTCGTATGATGGCATAGTACCTACAGTCTCTGAGTTGGTAGTATACAATGATTGTTGATATGATATGGAGCGGAAAGTTGGCTATACCGCAGTTTACGAAAGTTGTAAAATGTAATAGATATTCTATTACAAGAATCTGCAGAGGAAGCTGTAGCGATTAAGTACTCCTAAACCAGGTCTTATTCACACGCACAAACGAAACCAGCTCATCTGCAATCCCGGTGAATTGATATCGTAGTCCTCACTGCGACACCCTCGAGATGCGCTGCAGGCTGGAAGTTGATTTAATAATCACCTTGCAGTCTTTCAGGGAAAGAATCTACTTGCTTGAGTTGAATCGGCTGTTCAAGGGTTTTGCTCTCCAGTCTCTCTCTTGCTGGATCTATAAATATATAACTCTTGACAAGAAGCGCAGGGTATTGGTTTGGAGCTGGATAATAAGATACCCTGGAGGAATAGACCTCAACTAATATTTCATGTTGGGGACCATGTTCGACCAGGTGTTTCAGGTACGACATTACCGCCAAAAGGTGTTTGGGTCGAGCAGGATTGATATTTTTATATACATACTACATTGCAGCTGCAATAGTACAAATACTAGAAAATCACCTTAAGACCAAGTGCTTGATTCCTAACAATAAAGCTTGTTTGGAAACATATTCTAAGAAAGGGATCTGATTTACCAACACCACGCTCTTTAGTTCGAAACTATTCCTCATGGTCACCCCCTTGGGGCATATCTTCCATGAAATCCGTCAATGAATTCTATCCGTAACAGTCAGTACGAGCAAGCAAGCTCTAAGACTGGATGGAGATTCCAAAAGAGATGACATACCAGAAAATGTGACGACCTGGTCCTCGTTTACGTCCATTGTCTTGAACAACATCCTGGCATTCTCCTCGGTTAGGATGCCACTGTCGGGGTGGGTGTTCACCCAGTTGACCAACTCATCCTCCGTGAGAATTTCTAGCAGGCATAACACATGAGCTATTGGAGACAGTATTTCTATAGAGAAGGCACTTACTGTCCCTACTATTCTTGTTCTTTTATTTGATGTGATTAGTGACAGCACAGAATGTTTTAATTATGTATACTCACCATGCTCTTGAATAGAGCCCTCCATTCTTTAATCTCTGCCTTTGTGAGTGTCTATTGTATAGATAACATTAGATCACATATAGAAACTTCGCTGGAATCCATCTAACCATTTTGCTTTTCTGTATTGTGCTGAGCCTGAGGTCTTCACTTAGACAATTGAAAGATTGCACCAAAACTCTACTTGTGCAAGTAACCACACTATTTATAACCTCGCCTGCTTATAGCCATGACTCGTAACACCTAGTTTTCTGTCATAAAGAGGGATTCCTAAACCCATTTTAGACTTATCTTGAGGCATTATTAGACCAGTTATCTGTAGATACCAACGACAAGTGGAGATAGTGGCCACTGAATGATGAATGATAGCTGGCACGAACCTGAACTTTTATGGTCAACGGCCAGACATTTGGGTTATTGGGACAAGATCTACATCTCAGCACCGAACTTGATCTATATCAATCCAATAAGAGCAAATTCCACCGTCTCTATGGCTGAATTAGAATAGTAAAAACATAGCGATATGGGCGATTTCACCTCATCTCTTGGAGCGGAGGATCAGGCGTAGAGAGGAGGGAAATCGAGCGATTTAAGCGACATTCAAAGATATACTCCGGGAGATGATGGTGGCACTCCTCATATTTGTGAGGACCGCGAACATATTTCCATCTGTCATGCGTGCATTCATGATGTTCTTGGAGGCCCTGGATTGTCTGTGCAACCAGAATATCTCTTTCCATCTATGCACAGGGAACGGGTCTTTCCTCGATGAACACCGGGGTTTCTGCTGCTGCTGCTGCTGCTGGTTCTAGGTTCTTCCTCTTCTGTCTCATATTTTCCTGGTAGATCTAGCACCTGCTGGGGCCAAGCCCCTCCCACTTCAACTACAGCGATATCTGGAGCAGCGTCGGCTAACGGAGGGTTTGTTTTCTCGATCGAGGATTTGATATGCACGAGCAAGTAGACGATGCCCATCCCACTGCTCACAATTGGAGCTTTTCCAACGCGCTCCACAATTATAGCAAAATTGGGTACCACAATCACAGCTATCGGCCTGAATATTAGTTCTCAATCATTTGGAAAACAAACAAAATAAGAAAGACCACCCACGTCATGTGATTGCACCAATCACCAACAAGAATAGCAACGTAGACTGGTCGATCCCTGGTTCAAATACACAAGCCATCTCTACTGAGCGATGTTTGACAAAAGCCTATGCGGGCCAAATGTGTAAGGGGGGTTTCAGGACAGGGATGGCATAAATATATGGAATTCCCGTCAGCCAGGGGTCATGGCATTGAATGTATAAACTATACATGAGCTCGAACTTCTTTTCATTGTGGGAAGAATCAATATAACCAGAAATAAACAGAAGAAAAATAAAATAAAATAAAAAAAGGTAGGATATTCATATATATTGTACATGAGAATGGAACCAATTCCACAAGTAAAACTTGGCACACACACACCCTTGGATTCCTTCTGTTATCCTAGTGGGGAACAAAAAGGAAGAGCCCACGAACAGGGACCTGCCAGCTTGTATCCACTGCCGTATCGAATAGCAAGTGACAGTCAACCTTTTATAAGGGAAACGGCTATACCAAGGCAGCCAGAAAAGAGAGATTCGTTTGGTAACACAACCCTGCAGTGGTCGCCGAATGTTCCTGGCTGTGGGAGAGATTGGCAAATGGTCTCACGATGGACGACATCGCGCTATATTCACATACACATACTGTCATTAAGCCGAAGCCTGGGAGGAATGACCGCAATCTCCCTGCCTTATAGTTTCAGGCGGCTGACCGTCCTATCTTCTTGGTAAGCATATTAGACTCATGGATCTTACGAACAGTCACCACTCACATCCTGTTTATCAACACCTCTGTCAGCGCTGAATCATAATAGGAATGTCAGTCGATCTAGTGCTAGCATTGAATAATTACTCACATAGCAGATATTTTCTTGTTCAAGAGAATAATCTCCGTTCAGATCTTGGTAAATAGGAACCCGATAATTTCGTTCGTTTTGACTCTATTTGTTCTATATCAGCATCATCGGGATACCCTGCTCACGAACATAGGGGCCATTACTCACAACAAAGACGACATAGTTGGTGCCGGCCACAACCTGCCGAGTGACACCGTAAACAAAATCAATCTTGAGTTTGTTTACAGCAACCTCCACGGCGCCCCGTGCCCCGGCGTCATTCGCACAGTCAGTATTGGAGAAAGAGCCGGGAATACTTTCGGCTCCGGCTGGTGGAATACCATAATTTGCGACACATTTTGTGGTGTAGGTGTCGAGATTGGGGTTGAGCTCCTGAGATGAAACCAAAACAGTGCAGAGCACGGAGGAAAAGATCGTGGGTAGGGAGACACGCATATTGGGATTATAGTGATCTTTGACACTAGTCGTGGCTCCTGTGACTTTTGATTATTTTCAGGTTGAAGATATTTCCTGGTTTTCTGTGAGACTAGGCACGGCTTAAAAAGAAATGAGATGACCTCCGGTCTTAATGTACAAAATCTAGTCACTTGGCAAACCCGATGCAAAAGCGTTCAATAGTTTGCTGAAGAGAAGACTGACAGGCAATAGTTATTAAATTATATTTCCGTTTTGAAAAGACATATGTATTCTTTGGGACAAGATAAGACAGATAGGGCATAGTATGCCTTTCGAATTACGTATATGATCTGCGGATCATCCACTAGTGAATCTCAACTCTCTCTTCCGTGTAATCTAGCCCACTTGCAATCTGGGACGGCTATTTCTATACGTTAACCCGATGACGCTATTGAGAATAGTGGAAGAGGCTGGTCAGTCTCGGGGGGGGGAAGATCACCATTCTCCTTCAGAAAGAGTTGCTAAAGCAGACATTTGACTCATGTCATCATCACCTATATATTTGAAAAAGAAACCTACAACTCAACAGACCCCGCAGAATCAACAGTCAACGGCCCCTTCTTGACCATCATCGTAAGAATCTCATAAAGCACATCCGCGGCAGCCCTACCCACAGCTCATTAGCAACCCTATCCAAACCAAAGCAAACAAGGAAAAAGAAAAGAATGAAGGGGACATACATAGTCGACAACTCGGCATTAGTATCATAAGCAGGCGCAACCTCCACGATATCGGCTCCGATGAGATTCAACCCGTCCAGACCACGGATGATCGTGCGCAGTTCGCGGGTCGACCAGCCGCCTGTTTCGGGGGTGCCGGTAGCGGGGGCATCTACATTTTCTATTAGCCCTTGCTTTGTGTTTCGGGGAGTTTGGTTTGTCTTTATGAGTGAGAGAGGCTGGGGGGGGTGGTGTGTAGTTATGTTGCCGGAGGACTATGCTGGTGAATGACTTACAAGCGGGATCGAGCGTGTCGATGTCGATGGACAGGTAGACGGGGTTTTCGGTACCAACGCGGTCGCGGATTCGTTTGATGATGCCGTCGGTGCCTTGGTCTTGTTAGTTGTGGTTTTCTTTGGGGGATTGTTGTGTGTGCTTAGATGAGGGTGTGAGTGGTTAGGGCAGAAAGGGGGGCGAGGGAAGTATATACCGATGGTATCTATATCTCTAGCCTCGACGATTTCAAACCCACAGTATCCGTCATTCTCATAGTCCGAGGGACCGGAGAGGGTAGTCCGGATACCGGCGTGGATGTTCGTGTCGTTCCTGAGGAGACCTTCCATCGCCGCATGGTAGAAGTAGGTTCCATGGTTCACGGAGGCGACCTGGCTCGGGGAGCCACCGAAGACCTTGGGTTTCCAGGAGTCGCTGTTGGGATATTAGCTCGGGGATACAGGAAAAAATGGGCAGGTGGAGTTGACGACGTACAGATGGCTGTCGAAGTGAATGACACTGACAGGGCCATATGCCCTGTTGATACTGCGCAGCAGGGGCAGGGTGATGGTGTGGTCGCCTCCTAAGGTGATGACGCGGGGGAGGGTTTTGCCTGCTCGCGAGAGACCGTATTCATTTGCGTCGGTGAAGGGCTTGCGCATTAGGATGCTGTTGTGGCCTTCTTCGATCTGTTGGATTGCCCAGGCGTTGTCGTAGCTGGAGTTTGTTTGTTAGTTCTGGGGTGTCTTTTAGGGGTGGGTTAGGGCATACGAGGTAACGGGGATGTCGCCGCAGTCTATGACTTTTAGATCACTGACGAAGGGATTAGCTTCTAGGGGAACGTTGTAGCCGCCACTGCAGGGTGTCTGTTAGTCCTGGTCATTGTGCGCAATGGCTCGGTGGAAAAGGCCTACTAGAGATTGAGCCGGCGGGAGCCTTGTCTGATACCGCTAGGGCCGAATCTAGCACCGGGTCTGTAAGAGGTGCCGGTGTCGAAGGGAGCTCCTGTATTGTGTGAGTTGTGGCTTAGAGGAATCAGGAGAAGTTGATGCTTTGGTCATACCTATGAAGGCAATATCGTACTTCTCATCGTCGCTAGAGAGACAAGGGAAGTAGGGCAAACGAGCGAAGGTCGAAATGCCTGAGAAGACAGAGTCGGCCTGAGACCGTCAGTATGGATGTGTACAAAGCATAGGTAGTAGCTGCACACATACCTGAGTCCCACCGTCTCCTGGTAAGGTGTTATACCACAGTTTCTGGTGCGGACCGGACATGGGGGTTGGGTGCTTGCTATGGGCGGAAGCCACAGCGGACAGAGCGAGTAGGCTCACTGTTGTGACGAGCATATTGGTGCTGATGCTTGATACGGTTGTGAAGGGAGAAGGACAAATTCAATACTGATTTGAGTGGAAGACTGGGATCTATCTTCTTGGGTGATGGAGGAACAAAACTGCTATTTATGTGACCCTTACACCACAATCGTAAACGCCATTTCCTGAAATTAGTTTCCCCTCGCCTACTTCCGACCAACTATAGCCCTGGTAAATCCATAATTTGCTTTGACTGCTTTGTTTGTGCAATGCTCGAGATCAGGTAACCACCATCTGCGTCCCGGATGGATCAACCACATTGAACCAGTCAAGAGCACAGGAAAGACACCGATAAACCTTCGAGATTCAGTCTCGGATAGGAACAAGGAGATACGGTTGGCGTCTGCTCCACTTCCTACAACTTCCTACTTTGGAGGGTATTGGGAGTGGGACAGGCTGAGGATTTACTATCTCTTTGGACATGCAGCCGAATGCAAGGATTGCCATTCAGTTTCCCAGAACGGAAAGTTTGGGGAGAGAATCCACGCGAAGACGAACATGATGCAAGCCCAGGAAGCGCAGTTAAATTTAGTCAAGGTTACGAGGGCTGTTAGTGATCCAGACTACATGTGGGTTATCAGTTCTTATCGTCATGACAAGAAAATCCTCCGCATGAGTGGACGATCGGCTTCTTATCAATGCACCACCACTAGCTTCAACTTCTGGAACGTCTGGTCTGTCCTCGGAGAAATTGACATTCTTCAGTCTGGGGTACGGCGCTAACTCGTTGAGGCAGGAATTCTTGGCCAACCTCTCGACACAGTGACATGAGCATACACAACTCTGTAATACTTGCTATCTCCATACCATCCACTACCGAATCGCCATACTACTTGACTCTACATTCCATCCTCCAATCGCTCATGCACGTCCATACGAGAAAACGCCTTATCCACTTCCTTACTCCAATTGCTGAGAGCCACGATCATCCACTCCAACGCCCCCACCAGATACAGGGCAATACACTGTCCCACCCAGAGGCCCTTGAGGCCCCAGCCATGGAACGCCAGCCAAATGCCGAGCGGCAGCGCACCACAGTAATAGCTAACCAGATTGACCATCGCTCCAACATGCTGGCGACCCATACCACGCAGACTGCCCCCGCAACTTCCGTTCAAGCCATCTGCAATCTGGAATAGTGCAACATACGGCAGGACGTCGGCGGTTAGGCGCACAACTCGCTCGTCCGAGTTAAAGATCTTTGCAAAATCATGCCGTGTCCCCATCAGTACAGCCAGTACAACCCCACCGAGGAGTATGCTAAGCCAGGCGGCCGTATTCGCTGCTTTGGCTGCTCCCGGTGCGTTCCGAGAACCTAAGAGGTTGCCCACTCGTGCCGACGTGGCGACGCCCACTCCAAATGGGATCGTGTTGAGTACTTGATCTGCGGTCATGATAACGCTTTGGGCGGCCAATGCGATTGTCCCCAGCCGGCCTGCTGCCAGGGCCACAATCTCGAATGCCCACCATTCCGTGCCGACATGGATGATACCTAGGAAGGCTAGGCGGGCAAAGGTACCCAGGTTCTGGAACGCCTCTCGTGACCAACCGCCCCAGCATTCAGACCCGGCAATGAACCGGGCATAGAGGACTAACAGGATGAAAGACAACCAGTACGAAATACCAGTGGCAAATGGCGCCCCGAGTAAGCCCATCTCAAAAGTGTAACAAAAGAGGTAGTTGAGAAAGGCATTGAAGGGAGATGTAATCATTAGCACATATGTTCCTGGACGCATGATGCCTGGGACAGCAGAGTTAGTGATAGGGTTCAGAGGCGACATAGCGAGCCGAGTCTCACCTTGAGCTTGCAGATACTTCTTCATCACTTCGAAATAGATATATCCTAAACCACCTGGAATCAAGCAGGTCAAGAATCTCGCACTGTCCCTGGACAGCTGCGGATCTTGACCTAGGAGTAGGAAGACGGGCTCCGAGCAGGCCCAAAGGATAGCAACGGGGATGTAGAAAAGACTCAGAACGAAGAAGCCCCTTTGCAGCAAGACACCGAGGTCATGCTTGTTTGAGCTACCCGTGAACGTTGACGAGGCCAACGTATCGAGAGCTGTCGTACCACCCAAAGCGATCATCCACGCTGTAATCATGGCAAACATCAAGGAAAATGCAGTCGTGGCCAGGTTTTCCGGCGAGGAGCGTCCGACTATCAAAACGGACACGGTCTGCAAGCTGTTCTGGAGTGTATATGCCAGAATAACGGGGATAGAGCCCTTGAACAGAATCCAGAGTTCGGTGAGGTACTGTCTCCAGCCCTCTTCATCAGAACTATGGCTGTCATAGCGATGCGAATCTTCAGGATCGTCGATATCCGCTGGCTTTGGGAGGAGAGAGGTATATTCAGTGGGCTCTTCTTCAGTTCTAGGCGTGTCGCCATAGCAAGGAGAACGCTGGCGATACATCTCTACGGAGTTTGGACAGAGGAATCGATAAACTGGTTGACCAGTACTGCACACAGAAAAGAGTCTCTATATTTGAAGTGAAAGGAGCCATGAGCCTATATTACTTGTTGCATGGGCACCTTGCAGACTGCTCAAACTACTGGCTATATTTGGTTAATGCAAAGATACAAAGTACACAAGTGGATCAGGAGTATTACCAAAAACCTCATACAGAGGTACAAAGAAGGTATACTAATTACTATTATCGTAATACATACATCGGAACGAACACAGACATCTCAATCACGACCTTGACTGACCCACATGGTTCAGAAATTCGATGAAGTCATTCAATTACCGAGATCACGATAAAGGATAGTCAAAAGTGTCGAGCCACCATTCTATGTGGTAACTCGTCCCTTATCAGTTATGATGCAAGAAATAAGTCGGTGGAATGTCCCACTCGCCTGCAGATAATCCATTTCCATTTTCTCGAAACAAGTTCCTGATTAGGAAAGGATCGGATCCCCTTACTTGGAGTTTAAATCATGACGAGACTTTCTTATCGCTACCCCACCTGCGATCCGAGACGTTATCAGAGACCTGATTGTAGATTGTGGGATAATTATAGGCCTAATTGGTTATGGCTAGATTCCCCGCTTCAATATGGTATACGTTAGAGAATACTCATACGTTCAGCAGGAAATGTACAGTATAATCCGGGGGCTCTGATATTAGAATCATCAGGGCTTGATTGCGATTTCTCAATTTCTATTTAGAATGTCTACTACAGGCACTGAATTACAGCTCTCCATTCTAGGTCCAGTATGATTATTATATTATCTAGAATCGTTGGATAGCGTGCCTGTATGATTTATTGTAGATCTGATAGTATTACAGACTTGTTCAATCTTTCTTAGGTTGCTTTCAAGTAAGGTTATCGTATTACGATAGCAGCTATTACTACAATGCCTTATTCAATCGCACACAGCTCTTCAGAGAGTGCTTTGGCGAGTTATGAAATAGCATATGATGAAAGTGTGGTAGGGAAAATGGTAGTACCAGCAGATTCAGCCTGTATACATAAGTAATGGTATATAAGGAGAATAGACATTGCCCATAGAATCAGTGAACCAAAGGCTCAAAGGGCCGGTGAAAGACCCATCTAGATGAGAAAAGACTTCAAGACAATCAACAGAACCTACAGAACAGTGATAGCTCGTATTGGTTCATATGCTTGATTGACTCAAAGACCTGAGCAGCTTAGCTATTCTTTTGGCGAATTTACCCGGCTTAAGAAGAGTATAACTTTGCTTGTCATGGACGTCTCCATAGATGGTATAAGAATCAGAGTAAAAAAAATATAAAGAAAACATTAGTGACTGCCAATGTATGGTGCTTATTGGTTGTAGCAGCGCATGCTGCTAAGCATTCCCTCGGAATGTATTGCCTACCTAAACCCTAATTTATGGCCGAAGAGATAAGGCATGCTTCTGATATGCCTCAAGAGTCTGATTCGATGGCTTGTATGTCGACGTACTCTGACCATTGTTCTCTTGCAGGCACCGTATGTTACGCATTAAACTACCAGGTCTTGATAACTGTTTTTTACGGCGGAATTTGTATATATACTTTGATTAAACATGCCCCAGATTCCCACTCATCATACTAGACTTCATAACCATGGACGAGGAAAAGAAGAAAGACATCTCCCTCGGTGACATGGGTACCAACATAATTCATGGTGACGAGAAATGTCCACCATTTCCTATCAAAAGTGTCGAGCGAGATGGCGTGAAGCTCCATCCCCCGCCAACCTCGGATCCCCTAGACCCTTTAAATTGGTCTAGGGTTCGGAAGCACTCCATTCTGGGAATAGTCATGCTGAAGTATGATGCTTTTGCTTTCATAGTCATTCTAGATAGTGCTAACTCAAGCCAGATATTTCCTTTTCACTTACATCACTACCACAACCGTCCCTTCATTTCCCGAGATCCAGTCCCAGTTCAACATCAACTACTCACAGGTCAACTGGACCGTGGCTATCCCTGCTCTGGGCTTGTCCGTGGGCCCGCTATTCTGGTCTTCATTGAGCGATATCTACGGACGTCGAATCGTCTTCATCATAGGGACAACCATCTCTTTGGTGGCCACTATTGGTGCAGCGGTGGCTGACACGTATGGAGGGTATATGACTGCTAGATTCTTTCAAGGGTTCGGTGTTAGCCCGGGGTCAACAGTAGGCATGGCTGTAGGTATGTACGTCTTACACTCTTAATTTTGTATCTTGCAAGTCGCTAATGAAGACAGTCAATGATCTTTTCTTTGATTATGAACGCGGACAGAAACTAGGATTATGGGTTCTGGCCATCGACTCAGGACTCCTTCTTGGACCTACCTGTACACCACCCTCCCAGTCTTCCTACTAGTAGTTAGACCGGTTCTAAAATGCTAACATTATGTTTCTCAGTCGGCGGGTTCCTCAATCTCGTGAGCGCAGCATGGATTAACTGGTTCAATGCGATACTCTTCGCCGTCCTCCTCCTCCTCGAACTCCTCTTCATGCCCGAGACCCTCTACCCACGCACCCGCATGCTCCAACTCATGCCTAGAGACCACTCCCCATATTCAACGGACATCGAACAGCCTCAAGAGAAGTGTGAAGCAACATCCAAAGCGACATTGCAGAATACAGAAACAGATACAATACCTCGGACAAAGACTCTTAAATTCTTCAATATCCGACCCATCCCCGGCCTGCGCCATCCAAAACCTTGGGATGCCACTCTGCGCTTCTTTCTTACCTTTCAATTCCCTGTTGTCGTTCTCGCCGTCCTCGGATACTCATTTCTTTGGTATTGGTGGGTGCTATCCGTGATAACGATGGTACCAGCCGCGTACGCAACGTATTCGCCGCTGATCCAAGGCCTATTATTCCTGGGATTATTTATCGGGACGCTAGTGTCGGAGGTGTGCTGTTCAGGGAGACTCAGCGATTATATCGTGAAACGACTAGCAAGGAAAAACGAGGGCGTGCGAATGCCAGAGATGAGGCTATGGTTAGCCTATCCTGCTATTGTGATCACTGCTGGTGAGTCTATGTCGCCCAAAGAACCCATCGGTAGAGCGCTATATCTAACGAGGTTATCAAAAGTCGGATTAGTAGTTTGGGGCATCAGCATCGACAAAAGCTACCACTGGATGATCGGACAAATAGCATTCTTCCTATGTAAGTCCCCATAACCCTTTCACTCCTCGCTCTCTCCCCTCTTCACCACCCAATGACTCATACCTTCATACATTAATTACAGTCTCATCGGGAATCCAAATCGGCAACACCGTAACAAGCAGCTATATAATCGACAGCTACCCGCTTCAATCAACCAGCGTCGTCATCTTCTACGCTGTATTTCTCAACCTGAGTGCTTTTATCAACCCTGTACTTATCCCCCATATTCCATATATCTTACCCGCCTGTCTGTTAATCAGGACACTGACAAGATATAGTTCTTCATCGCCAACTGGCAGGCCTCTTCCGGCTGGACGTGGACATTTACAACACAAGCCCTGATAGTGCTTGTCGCTGGAACGGGCGTGTTCGCTGTGCTACAACGATACGGGGCGTTACTGAGATCCAAAGCGAAGGTACCGGGGTGGGTGAATCCGGAGTTTGATTCTTGAGTATATATGTGGGGACTTGGGTATTTGGTTCACTGTGTATCTTTTGGTATCAGGATGTCGGACTAGATGATAAATAAGGTAGTTAGTACGCAAGGTCTGAACTTGTATGATTTATGAAGTTATGAGAATCTGAAGACGTCTTATCATTAATTATCGTTATTTCCATTATTGATTACTAGTTGGGTGGGTTTTTCTATGAACTGCATTGCGAACCATGGGTCGGTCCCGTCTTTGAGCAACCCCTTTTCTATCATACGGTACATTTCACGGGGTAGGTTATATATCTATTTTAGAATTTTCAAGTTGGGAACAGGACATGGTAACTGAGACAATGTTCGAATTTGATGTGTTTCGGTTCTGGTATAGTGTAGTGTTGTTGGTTGTTTTTGGATTGAATAGAGATACACACAATGGGTGCCACCAGGTACGAGGAGACAAATTAATATATTCGAACCGGATAAGCACCGGGTTTAGTGTACAGTATTCTGGGATAAGTCGTAGAGCAATATAAATATATGATACATGAGAGACTGGAATAGTATAAGAATAAGTAACCAATAATCAATAGAAAAAGACAATGTGGTGGAAAACCAGAGGATAAGAGCATTGATATAGTATGAGAGCAGTGATACAACAACGGTTCCGGTCTAGGCCTCATCCAGCCAACCGTGAAGAGGCAAAAAGGCAGAAAAAAAAAAAAAAGGGAAAAAAAAAAACTTCTCCGCCCCCCACAATTTCATCCCGTCCAACAACAAAAATTCCCCTGCAATCGCATTTCTTGCAACAGCCACAGGATTCTAATTATCACTAATCATCATGGGTAACGTAAGGGCTCTCACAATATGTCTGCCTTCTTTTTTTCTTGGGAGAAGGGACTGATGATATGTCACCAGGGAGCCAAAGCCGCCTCTAAGCGTGAGCGCAATGCCAAAGACGCAAAGGGTACTGCGAAGTCGCAGCTCAAAGCTGTATGTTATCTATACTGGACAGCGCAAATGTGGTTGATTGTTGAGCTCACAGATTACAGAACGAAGCTGCCAAGGATATCATCTGCAGCGTTTGCAGGCAGACTTTCCTCAAGACTACTCGTGGTCCGGCCCTGACTGAGCATGCTGCTAATAAGCACAGCAAGACGCTTCAGGAATGTTTCCCTACTTTCGTGGAGGCTCCTAAGAAATAAACGGGAGATTGCCACTTTAGGTTGATGTTTTCTAGTGCTTATGTGGGGATGTGCATTCTTTCAGTTGCGGTGTTTTGGCTTTCTTTTCTGTGTTCACAGCGAAGGCGATGATGTAGCATGAGTATACCATAGGGTATTGAATCGGAGCATGACAGCGTGCGCTTTTATCTTGTTCATGTCGAAAGAGTCCATAGTAGTTACGTAGTTGCACGAGATTGAAGTTAGCCGTTGGTTAATGGCTTATAGGGGCCACAGAGCATACAATCACTGGCCGGGGTGTCTTTCATATTTGTCAGCTACGGATCAATGGATAACTACATGTTGGAAGGCTAGCTTTCCAGAAGTTCTTAGAGATGGTTCTACTTCCTATCTAGATGTGGCCATTGCAATAGATTAGGGCATTAGTTGCTCTGTCCTTAGTACCATCAACATTTGTATAGAAATCCAAATATCTTGATATTTCGAATAGCTTCAATTCAAAAGGCATCTCATTTGGGCGACCCGCTCGAACGTGCAACTTGATCGCTCGAGGGCAGCCCCGTTGTAGAGCAACAGCTTGATCACCTGCTCATTTCCCTGCATAGCAGCATATGCCAGTGGTGTCCAGCCAAGATCGTCTTCAGATTCTATATTAGAACCGTTGTTGAGCAGGAGTTTGGCTATACCCTCATATTCAGAGAATACAGCAACTGTTAACGGTGTCCAGCCATGATGACCTTTAGCTTCCATATCAGCACCTTTCTCGAGCAGCAGTTTGACTATGCTCTCATATCCAGAGAACACAGCCTCTGTTAACGGTGTCCAGCTGCCAAACTCTCTAGATTCTATATTAGAACCTTTCTCGAGCAGCAGTTTGACCATACTCTCATGTCCAGCGCGTGCAGCAGCTTTTAACGGTGTGACGCCATAGCTATCTTTAGATTCCATATCCGCGCCTTTCTCAAGTAGCAACCTGGCTACATTCTCATGTCCCTTGCAAGCAGCAATGCCCAATGGTGTGTTATTGTCATAGTCTTTGCACTCTAGATCAGTGCCCCTCTCGAGGAGTAGATTAACTAATCCACTGTATCCAACTTCTGCAGCTATTAACAGCTGTTCCTGGTCATATTCCGTGCCTTTGAACTTCTGATCAGAGCCCTTTTCAAACAACAGCATGAGGACATCATCATGTTCCATTCTAGCAGCGTATGCTAGTGCTGTGCAACCATCCTCAGATTTGCATTCTATGTTAGCGCCCTTTTGGAGTAGTGCCTCCACCGCTGATTTGTGCCCGCGCGCCGAGTACCATCGCAGTGCTGAACTTCCGGAGAACCTAATGTTGTGTTTGTATAGAGGACCTGCTTGCTGGATAGCATAGATTCGGCGACTTGTCAATAGAAAGGAAAGAATATCCTTCTCACTATCCAGCTCCTCGATGACCATAAGTAGTAGCTCGCTTGGGAGATGGAGAAGATACATCGTGGAGGAAGAGATAGTCTGATAGTATAGGAGTTTCCCGGCTATCTTAAGTGAAGTTTCCCCTATAATGACCGAGACGAATCTTCGATGATCGTAAAGAATGAGAGTTGATCAGCGTCACGAGGGGAGGGAAGAGTTGTGTGAACCGTCATTCTCAATGACTTCACCATGACCAGCATCGCGCGGTATCCTCGATCGCTTAGGTTTATAAGCGAATACGTTTAGCAGTTATCACTGGGTTCTAAAAATGAAATAAATCATTGAATCTGACCCATAATTCTTCTTTAGTCAGTTCATCTGAGCATTTATGTAATGTCGTATCCCCTGAGAATCGGGTATCAAATATATGGAGAGAGAGAACTAAATGAGGGTATAGCGGATTGCCCTATTTAGTAACTAGTTATCTATAAGTAACATCACCTGACAGTTATTCGTAAGTCGATACCCATTTCAATCTGGCAGTTTAATATATGTACTCCACATTCAATACCAGTCAAAGTATCTCATACCAACTCAAGAGTGACAGTACCTTTACTGTATTATCTCTTATTTTGATTCATATGCGATAACCTTGGCTTTTCCTTGTCCCAGAACAGAATTCCTTGATATTATTGTGCGGTTCGTTTGGAGCTTGCAGTTCTGTTTTGCTTCGTAATCACTGGTTTCAAGCGAGTATCAATACAGTCAAGGCAAGGAGTGGCCTCCTCAAAGATGGGGATAGAGCTTCTGCCGCCTTGGTGACGGAGAGTTCATGTCCCTTCTATGTTTTATCTGGTTGCTCGTTATCTTTCACGCCTCATCTTGCCGCCTTATTGATTTACCGTGTTGTGGCGGGGATACGGTTTGTTCGTGTATCAAGTGCAACCCCTTACCGCATCAACGTGATGTTGAAGATGTATACAGCAGTATGTCTTCAGTCGTTAGTTCCACCCAATAGTATACTCATATCAGCAGTCAAGCCCTTTGAGCGTCAAGATAAAGCCGTCTTGATGCCCACATGAACACAAGGTCCATTTTGATTGCATCCCACATAAAGTCTAAATTTAAAGTTAAGATAGCCCCGATTTGAAAGGTGGACACTGGAAAACCGTTGTTGGAAATCGTTGCCACTGGGGCAAAGAGTGGAATACACATTGACGGAGTCCCGATTTTCTTACCTATCCCAAACCTTATCCCTTTCACGAGCTGCCATGTTCAGGAGCTCGCCGACTCGGACTGCTCGGATAGACCCAAGCCGTACATGTCTACTTTATCTCGACATCGACATCCCCCTTGCATGAGCCCAAACGCCACCTCACAACCTGCAAACCAAATGTGGACCTATGTAGGCTGAGCTTCAAAGGTCCTGAGATGTCACGTTCGTTTTCTATCGAATTCTTCTAAGAGATATCCACATAGGGATGACACTATTGATCTCCAGATCACGTTGAACAAAGTGTATCGGTGGCAACAAACTAACGCTTACATATCTAGTTAATGTCCGCGATAGATTTCCGTCCTTGCATAGAGTTTCGATATCGCAATCGATTGCAGGACTCCTTTCACTGAGGGCCTTTGGGACTGTCCTTGCATAGGACACCGTTTATCCTGGACCCTGGGTAGACTTTCGGGCCCTTGCGCCACTTGATAGCTGTCATTAATATCAGTCTAGGGCGATCAAGGGGCTGGGACTTATCTCATTATTGAGCTCGGGTTCGTCTTTCGCGTGATAACCGAGGTGGCCAAATATGAGATCACGATATGCCGTGGCGGTTGTATCACCGACGCCCCTGCACTATGTATTCCGTACATATGCATGGGCTGGCGAACCGTTGGAAAATCGAATCCTCAATCAGTCTAGGCTGTACCCAAATGGAGTATCCGATCATCGATTCTGAAACTCTGGGGCCGGCTCTTGGTTTTCCCCCCTCTAATTACAATTCCTAGAAAGGTTACTGCTAATTTCACCTATGTTGCTCCACTATTCTCTGGCAGGTAGGCTCTTCCGGTCCGCCCGCTGCGAACTCTCTGCATGAAGGTTCTTCTTTAGTTGCGTTTATTGGGACTCCCCTGCTGTCATACACCATAAAGCTTACTTGAGCTTATGATGTACGGGTGAATAGAGGAAAGGAGAAAGAGGGTGTCTTCACGATCGCAGCAACCTCGGCCGCTTCGAGATTGTGTGGCTAGCGCAGATGGCACGGACCTCAGGACTACCATCACTAGAGGGGACGTACTCCGAGGCCTACATCAAGCAAGTAAAAGATCGACTGGTGTTGACGACGGACTTCGCCGGACTGAAGGAAAAATATTAGTAGTTAAAGTAAGTCGAGTCAGGCACTCCCTCATGAGTTCTCTAGCGGTGTACATGTATACCCGTTGATAGCGTTGTCTACCGGAGATTGTGATGCGCTGGAGTCGTAGAGCAGTTGCCCTAAGGAGGAACATCGGGTTATTATAGTAACCATGGTGGACCCCGGGCCGGCTTTGAGAACCTCTAGGCTCTTGTCAATTTCACCTTTCACAGTTATGCCCTCGGCACAAAGGGTCTCCATCTGACTTGGATTGTTTTGATTGCAGGACTTACTCCGGAGCATTCGGCTTGAATGGCTTGTTGCCTTCCCTGTCTTCATTACGAATTTCATATCAAGGTTTGGAGTTGGGGGATGGGGGGTTTGGATCCCTGAGGGCAATTGCGATCAACGAGTGATATTTTACTGACTAATGGTTTTTAGCTCGACGACGAGGTTAATTGCTTTAATATGTTTGTTCGTATAACCGGAATTAATGACATTAATTAATTGAGCCATTATGAGGGGCAGAGTATGGGATGTATCATGCAACCGCCAAATTAGAGAACTAAGCCCTAGTGCTCCTTATGGATATTAGCCATGTGGACGTAAGAGAAACACCCATAATTGAAGTTCACTCTAGTGGTTCGCGCTAGGACCTTGTATTGTCTTGCATTTTCGCATCCTAGGAAAAATCCCACGCACGGATATACTTAGTAATTAGCATTAATGACCAAAATTTCGATTAGTGGGATGTCGTAGGGTAATTGGCGGATTGGTCGAAAAATCCCATACAGATATTGGCGGGTATCCTCAATTGCTCATTACCTGAAGTCGTTCGACATCGTCTCCTCGAAGGAGTTCATCCGGCACTGCCGGTTGTCCCGTCTTTGTGTACTTAGTATAGAAACACTGGAACTGGAACCGTGATGTCAACCCACTGACAGTTGGGTACAGGAGGACCCGCACCTCCGCTGAAGCAACGAACTGTGTCAACTCAGCGTCAAGCTTTTGCATCTGGTCTCCTCATTGCACGTGCGAGGAAAGCCTGGGCATCGTGACTCCGGTCCGTCTTAATTTCGCTTGCTTCCGCGGGAGCCTTAGGTTTGCTAGTCAGGCCCGAACGGTTCCCCGTTGCGGTCATTTCTCCAGTAGTTTATCCAGGGTAGCTAGCTGCCTTTGTTTTGCGTTTTACTTTTTGCTTTGCATTTGTTTACGAGGACGGAGACTAGGAATTGATTGTACGTACCTAGGTCGAGTTTTAAACATGTCTTGATCTATTGGGGGGGTTCTTTGCTTTTTGTGTTCTCAGTTTGTAGTAGTTCATGGAGCGGTCAAGGTAGGACTAGCCTATGCGTATGGATCATACAATCCGCTTGCTCCCAGGAGATCTTGCATATAAGATCTATGGTTCAGATAGAGATAAACATGCAGCTTCTCCATCCTTTGACACCACCCATATTATTGATCCAGACGGTATTACCAGGTTCTATCGTGGAAAATTCGTCGGGTTCCTGGATTGTTCCGCCCGGTAGCGAACCATGGGAACTGGCCAAGATTACCCAGTGGTGCGGACACCCGTCATGCATTACTAGTGGACAGTTACTCAGGGGTAAACCGGTCATCGAAGAAGGGGGAAAAGTTCGCAGATTTTGACACCCACTGCAGTTTATCCCAGTCACGAACTGGTTGATATTTCGATCCGCATCTGCAAGAGGGATAATTTCCCTAGAGGTGGTATGTTTGTATGGTACGGAGGAAATAGTCAGTCAATACTCCGGCGATAGTTCACTAATAATCCTCCGTCGAAGTACAGTAGTAATGATGGCCTGAGGAACGGACCAGGACGGTTGCCGATCTAGGTCTAGACTTGGTTGCAGTGGCTCCCCCTGGCGTGGTTGGTGTTCCGTAATGGTATTAGCCAGCTTTGCCAGTTTCATGGATTCTTTTTGGATCGTTCTCATCGCTTTTGGGATGTTCATATCGAAATTCCTTCGATAGATGCACGGAGTAGGTGGATGTACCTCCTACTTTCACCTAGAGAATACCCAAAGGTTGACTTGGAATACGTCCTGGATAGTCGAAAGGAGACAACGCCCAGTTTGCCCGCCGTTCGATGATTTATGGTTTGGTATTTTTATACTACGTATTACTTGTATTTTTATTATTATCATTTTTATTTTCCGCCTCTTCTCCTGGTGGCTTAAGAAGACTCCACATAGGCAACTAGTATTGAGATGGAGGGGCGCAAATATGAACCTGCATATCTTTAGGGAAAAAAAAAAATAAAAAAAGAAAGAAAGAAAGAAAGAAAAGAAAAGAAAAAGGAAAAGGAAAAAAAAGAGTGAAATGAGTTCCTGAATTAATTACGCACCGCCCCTCCTTTTACCCCCCCTACTCTCACATATTGTTAGCCGTCGTCTACCGTCTACCGTCTAGTACTCCGTCCAGTCTCCTCCACTGTGAACAACTCCAGCCAACTGGATCAACCGCCCCAGTTTTGGTTCGCTTCAATTGTGGAAGGCCACCAATTAACTTTGACCGGCCTTTTCAGGAGTCGCAACGAACTAAGTTCTAAACTACCCATTCCAGTTTTAGTTTACCTTCTCTCTCTCCGTACAGTTTCGACCAGTCTAGGATTCAGGTACCCTACGACTAATGCTTACTACCGTAACTGCTGCCACGACTAACGACTAACGACCTGGTAAGTTCTACCCCAGACCCGTCATTGGCACTCTTTTTCCTTTTCTTCCATCTCTTCTTCTGTTGGTGTTGTTGTCATTTTGTCGTCGTTGCTCTTTCCCTCCTTTGTTTCCGCTGCACTTCGAGGCGCTGGACTATTTGCCCGCTACCGTTGGCTTTTTTTGTATTCGATTTGTGATTTTATCTGTTGCCCTCCTCTGTCTAATTTGCTGGATCTCCGACTAGGTGTCTTCGATCTTTTTGTATGCTTTGTCTGCCCTGAAAATAAGGGCACCACTCACGTCGCCGATTGCCGCAGGCCGCCATACCGTGCGACTTCTTGGAAAACACAATCCAAGAAAAAAAAAAAGCCTCAAACAACAAATACCCTTATAATTAATCACCGCTGATGACACCCTCCTTCTGCCATTCTTGACCAATAAAGCAATTTTCGCATCCCACGACGCCCGACCTTTTCGCCCAAAAGTGAACCCACTCGAAGTGTCCAGATAAAAGGGTCATGACGGCCTCGCCGCCAGGTTCGCCGTCAGGTGCGCCTCAGCGACTCAGTGGCATCATGCGTACCCCCAGGAGCACCAGTCGTTTGAGCATGAGTTCTAAACAAGGCGGAGGAAGCCGGGCCTCTGATGAGGATGGCAAGACGGCTGTCAAAGTTGGTATGTTCTCGTCCGGTTTGGGATTTCGAGTCCCGAGCGCTTTGCTTGCGCGGAAATTTGTCGCGATCGCGGAAACTTGACTGCCTTATCGATCTTCTCCGGTAAAGCACTAACACCCTCGCAGCTGTCCGTGTCCGACCTCCATTGAAGCCCGACGACCCGAATTATGAATTAATTCCGCAACGTTTCCAACGTTCCATGGTCCACGTCACCACACCAACAAACTTAGCCGTGGATGTGCCGCAGGGTCGCAAATTGTTTGTGTTTGACCGGGTCTTTCCCGAAACGGTAGATCAGGCTGGTATCTGGGAATACCTCAACGACAGCGTCACTTCTTTCCTACAGGGATACAATGTCTCGATTCTGGCCTATGGCCAATCCGGTGCCGGTAAATCCTATACGATGGGAACATCGGGGCCCAATGAACAGACTTCGAGTCAAGGAATGGGTGAGTCTGCTTCAGTATAGCGCGGCTGGAGTATGCTATTGACTCACAGAATCAGGAATCATCCCACGCGCCGCCCAACATCTTTTCGAACAATTGGAAGGTCCCCCAAAGCACAATCGCAACGGCTCCACCGGTTTACGGACGCCCGCGCGATATTCGATTAGCTCAGCTTCAAGTTTCAGCAAAGCGAACACCGAAAAGGACTGGCAGATGAAAGCTACTTATGTTGAAGTACAGTTGTATACCTCAATGGCGAATGAAAACGAGGCTGACATGTGCAGATTTACAATGAGCACCTGAGAGATCTCCTTATCCCGGATTCAACGCCCGCAAGTGAGCGTACCACGGTTACCATTCGCGAAGACACGAAGGGTCGCATCATTCCTACCGGTCTGCACCAGGTCAACATCAACTCGATCGATGACCTCCTAGGCGCGTTGAACTTTGGCTCGACCATTCGACAGACAGACTCGACTGCGATTAACGCGAAGTCTTCTCGATCGCACGCGGTGTTCAGTTTGAACCTGGTTCGGCGCAAATCCGCGAACGGAATCACCTCCACCAAGGACAAGCGGATGTCCATGCCCGCCGATTTACCATCTGGTTCTGATGTCTCCGTTACCGTGGAGAGCAAGTTCCATTTTGTTGATCTTGCTGGAAGCGAACGGCTGAAGAATACCGGAGCGTCTGGAGAGCGCGCCAAAGAGGGTATTTCTATCAACGCTGGTCTGGCTGCCTTGGGCAAGGTCATCTCGCAGTTATCCTCTCGTCAAGCAGGCTCTCATGTCTCCTATCGTGATTCAAAACTTACACGGCTCCTGCAAGATTCTCTGGGCGGAAATGCGTACACCTACATGATTGCGTGTGTGACGCCAGCCGAGTTTCACCTCAGTGAAACGCTGAACACAGTCCAGTATGCGCAGAGAGCAAGGGCGATCCAAAGTAAACCTCGAATTCAGCAAGTGCATGATGAGAGCGACAAGCATGCCGTGATTGAAAGACTCAAAGCGGAAGTGGCATTTTTGCGACAGCAGCTCCGCAATGCTGAGGATAATGAAAGGCGCAGCGTCGATCCCCAAGACCGGTCAGAGCGTCAGAATGAGAGGGAGGCTGATCTCCAGAACCAGCTCCTCGATGTTCAGGAAAGCTACAATGCGCTCAGTCAACGACATGCTAAGTTGATCTCCGAGCTTGCTAGAGATTCGGAAACGGAAGAGAGCACTGATCCGAATGATGCCGCTTCATACATCGGCAAAAACTCCATTGAAAGGTTGAAACGGTCTCACTCTTTTGCGGAATCTGTTGAGCAAGTGGTGCTGGAATATGAGAAGACCATCCAGAGTCTCGAGTCATCCCTTTCCAATACGCGATCCTCCCTATCGGCAACTGAAAGCACGCTTCTTGAGCGTGAGACCAGATGCACGTACGTCGAAACCGTAAATACCCAACTTCAGGCTCGCATCCAGAAGCTTCTCGAACGAGAATCCGGCACAGAAACCTATCTCCATGAACTGGAGTCTAGGCTTGATGGGCAGTCCTCCGGTGAAGAGAAACAAGCAGCCATCATTTCAGAGCTTCGTAAAGAACTGACTCGCGCGCGCGAAAGTGAAGCTAACTGCGAAGATTACATAACGACGTTGGAAGAGCGCCTCGCGGAAGCCGACCAAGATATGGAACTTATGCAGCGAGAAGTGGATCGCCTGGAGCATGTCATCGAGCGTCAAAGGAGCCTGGGCAAGTTGGATAACCTCCTATATGATCTTGATCACAGCCAGCCGAACGGTAGTACAGCAAGGGACCACGAAGAACCGGAGATGCAGACGCCTGTCAAGCGTGCTTACCATCCTCAAAGGCGGGCAGCGTCCCTTGATGTGCTGACTGAAGCCGTTGAAACCGCTATACCGGAATCTGATGAGGACTCGGGTGAACCCGCCCCAGAGGTTGAGGGTGACACCCTCAACTCGGAGCCGGCTTCTGAGGCTAACGACGATCTCAAAGCGTTGGAGAATGCTACCGATCGCCTCCAGATCGACCGAAATGAACAAGTCCAAGATCGGACCCCTAGCCCGACTCAGTCCAGGGTCGTTGCGGATAAGCTCGAGACGGTCACCCAGGAGCTATTCGATTTGCGTACGCAGCACGAGTCTACAGTGAACGAGTACGAGTTGCTCGAAGCCAAGTATGAGCAAGCCATGAAGGACTTGGCCGACCTGCGGCAGGACGCTGCGGACGAAGCTCGGCATGCCTCACCCGATGCCCGCCAGCTCATTTCACCAGCCCCTACTTCGCGACCGGTGTCTTTTTTAGAGGATGTCAAGGCCCCCGACTCGAAGACTGGAATACAACAGTCCTCCTCGCGATCACTCTCATCGGAGTTATCCTTGGTCGGGGAGCCTGCTGCTTCGCACGAATCATCTAACGCCAAGTCCGGACCCGAAGCAGAAAACTTTGTAGATGCAGTGTCCGAAAACGACGAGGCCAAGGCACAGGAGGTCGAGCACATGCGCAGACTGCTCTCTGAGCATCAGGAAGGTGTCAGTATTATGACCCAAAAATATGCTGAGCTGCAAGCCGAACACGCTGAGACACTACATCTCATCGAAACACTCAAGTCCGAACTCCAGAAGCCAAGAGCTTCTCCTCCCACAACACCAGGCTATAAGCCTGTGATTCGGAGGAAGTCAAGCCAAACCCTGATTGGAAATGTCGACCGAGCGCATCGCTCCCTAGCTGCCTTGCGGAACATCGCAGTGGAAGAATTTGACCGTCGTCCTGATACGATGCAAAACTTCGAGGTACATTTGGACTCAGCTATGCATGAACTGCACAATCGCATGGAACGCATTCAAGCCTTGGAAGCTGAAAACCAAAGCGTGAAGAAGGAAATGGAGACGAAATCGACCATCATATCTGGGCTCACTCGTGAACGTTCCAGTTTGCAAGGTACCGGTTCGTCAGTAGATATGGGTCTTGTCTCCCAGTTGCGCGACCAAGTTGTCCAGCAGGAAAACATCATCAACGAGATGAAGGAAGCCCATGAGGCCAGAGAAAAGCTTCTGCTTGACGAAATTGAGGAGTTGAAGGCTCTTCTCAAGACTCAAGAGGAAGCTGCTAAAGCATATGATGCAGGTGCCGAGGAGCAGGACAAGAGGATCGGCCTTCTTGAGGGCGAATTGACCCAGTGGAAGACCAAGCACCAGAGCGCTGTTGAATCCCTGCAATCTTCAGAGCAGCAACTTAGCACCACGCTTGCAGAGCTCAACAGTGCTCTGGCCACTCTGGATTCAATGCGCGCCGAAAGAGCCGCTGCTGGTGAAGCATCGTCTGCCGAGAAGGAGGCGGCCGCAAAGGCTCTGGAGAACGAGAGATCCCAGCAGCAGGAGCTTGTTGAGGGACTGAAGCGCGATATCGAGCAGCATAAATCTACAGCTGCTGCTCATGTGGACACAATTTCTTTCCTAGAGAAGTCCCACGGTGCAGCCCAGGAACAGCTGAGGGAGCTCCTCGCCTCAAATGACGCCAGTGGAAATGAAATCGAAGCGCGCCAAAACCGTGTTTCTGAACTTGAGCAGGAAATCGAGTCCCACAGATCACATGCTGATTCATACAAAAAGGACTTAGACTCCTTGCAGGAATCACACAAAGCAGAGCTTGTCGAGTTGGAGGCACGGGCTAAGGCTGCGGCGCAGGCCGAATATGAACTGCAGCTCACGGAGAAGGACACCGAGCATGACAACGCCCTGAAGGCTCTGAGGTCTGAGATCACGGAGTCGCGAGACGAACTGGTAAAGTTGCTCAAGATGGTTTCTAACCTTCTGAACTCGGACGTCACCGCAGACAACCTGTCAGACCAAATCCAGGAAATTCTGACACAGAAGCAGCATTTCTCTGATAAATATGCTGAGTTGATGGGCGCAAATGAAGATCTTCGCAAGCAACTGGAGCTCAAGGGCAATGACACCGATCGTGTTGACGAGCTTACTAAGAGCAACACGGAGAAAGAGGCAAAGGTGAACGAGCTTGCTGTCTTGGTTGCTACACTTGAAGACACTCTCAACCAGAGAGAGGAGCAGATCAAGAAGAAGGAAGCGCTTGTTGCGGAGATTTCGGCCGAGAAGGAGAAGAGTGTTCGCCTCGTGGAGGAGCTTGAAGAGCAGATCACCAGCAGTTTCGATCAGCACCACAACCGTCTCTCCATTATACAGCAGGAGCGTGATCAGGCCCTGGAGGATGCAAAGGCGAAAATTGTTACTTACGAGACGGATATCGAAACTTACAAAGTACGAATTGAACAGCTTGAGGTAGGTCATCCCACAATAACCAATGGAGTCCAACCACTAATGGATCTGCAGCTTCAAATCAAGAATAGCTCAGGCCAGGATTCTACCTCCCACGATCGCAGCAGCTCTATCACCTCTAACTTGCGGAAGAGCTCATCTGCGACATCCCTCCCATCCCCACCACCTGCTATTCCCCTTCCGCCTCTCCCTACCATTGCTTCCGCTACCAACGGAACCTCTGGTAGCATCTCTCCCCCAAGCTCTCGTCACGCTAGCAAAGAATTGGCCAATACCCAGGTCGTCGAGGACCAGGAGGCTCGTATTCGAACCATAGAGAAGCATCTCTACGCTGAGAAGCAGCTCACCGCTACTCTGGAAGAAGCTCTCGGAGACCTTGAAGCCCAAAGTAACAAGGTCAAATCTGACTGTGAGGCTTGGAAGAAGAAGGCCTGGCAGCTGGAGGAGGAGCTGACCACTCTTCGCAAAGAACGCAACTCTCAGCGCCTGTCACTCCAAGCTGTGGAAGAGGAGAGAAATGCTCGCCGCGAAGCTGAAGCCGCTAGAGCCCAGCTTGAAGAGCGTATGAATGCGCTTAACAAGAAGAAAAAGAAGAGCACCCTCAACTGCTTTTAATTTTTGGACTTGCAGGTTCGTTCTTCTTATCTCATAGATTTGTTGTTTTGTTTGTTCCTTAAGAGATGATGTTCATTCCCCTGTATTATGAATTCGACGCCGATTCCCCTTGTTCGATTCGCGATACCTTTTTCCCTTTCTCATGTGTGTATTCGCACTATTTTCTCTATTTACCCCCCATGCCCGTCTCTCCCTCTTTTTTGCATTACGAATCCTGCCTCATGATGTGTTTCTGTGTGGTTTATTGGCTTAGCCTGATGTTCGTACGTCTATACATACCGGATGTTAGGCTGAACAAATGGCGCTGAGCGATGTGTATATAAAGACCGTCATATGACAGTTTTGGACAGTTCATTTTTATCTCATCGTAGCTTCGTAGGTTTGTCTGGACCATGGTTTTATATAACTGAATGTTAGGTGTGCTAGTACTGGTATTTATTGACGACCCTGTTTATAAGGTCTCTGGAAAATTATACGCAGTCATTGGAGTAGCATAAGACTACAGGTATGGAACAAGAAATCAGGTGAACAGGCAAACTCAGGCATGAACGGATCATTTGAGATCCTTATCAGATAAACAATAGATAACCTCCACATCGTCACATGACGTAGCCAATGGCCGCGTGTCGCATACTCGACCAGAGCTCCAGCTCGCAACAGCAATTACAGAAATGCCCACTCACCATCCCACCTCGTAAAAACTTCCAATTCCTCTCTGAGACCGCCATGTCGGGCCTCAAACGCTCCAACGTGATTATCATCCACCCAGATCTGGGCATCGGCGGTGCCGAGCGTCTTATTATCGACGTGGCGCTTGCGCTCCAAAACCGCGGCCACAAAGTAACGATCTATACCTCGCACTGCGACAAATCACACTGTTTCGAAGAAGCGCGCGATGGCACCCTCGACGTCAAAGTGCGGGGCAACACGGTATTCCCTGCGCATGTATTCCGACGGTTCCATGTCCTCATGGCGATCCTGAGACAGTTACATCTCACCATCTCCGTCTTGGGAGAGATAGCCCATACTTCCGATGCGAACGAGAAAAGCAAGGTTGGCGAGGAATCAGAAGATGATATCTTCATCGTCGACCAGGTCCCCGCCTGTGTCCCCTTTCTAAAGACGTTTGCGCGACAACGACAACGGATCCTCTTCTACTGTCATTTTCCGGACCAGTTGCTTGCGTTTCGTGGGGAGGGAGGGTCTCTCTTGAGTTTTGTCAAGACGCTTTACCGGTATCCGTTTGATTGGTTTGAGGGGTGGGCTATGAGTGCCTCTGATAAGGTTGTGGCGAATTCGAGGTTTACGAGGGGTGTTGTGAGGGAGGTTTTTGGGGGTGAGAAACTCGGCGATGTTAGTGTTGTTTATCCGTGTGTTGACACAGAACCGGCGGCCTCGAAGGACCCAGCGGTTGTGAAGGATGGGCAGGTGCTGTGGGGTGGGAAGAAGATTCTTTTGAGTATTAATCGGTTTGAGAGGAAGAAGGATATGGCGCTTGCTATCCGTGCGTATCATGGGTTGGGGCCGGAGAAGAGGAAGGGGACGAGGTTGGTTGTTGCTGGTATGTTGTTTTTACTCCCTGTTCTTGTCTTTCTTGACGTTGGGGTGTGGTGTTTGGCTGACGATGATGCTATAGGTGGTTATGATAACCGGGTCCAGGAGAATGTGCAGTACCATCGGGAACTGGATGAGCTTGCGACTAGTCTGGGATTGCAGACTGCTACATCTAAGACGGTTATTTCGGCCCTGTCCGTTCCCGATTCCATTGATGTGCTGTTTTTGCTGTCCGTGCCCTCTGCATTCCGGGATATGCTCCTCGAGCACGCGAAATTGCTTCTTTATACGCCTATCAACGAGCACTTTGGCATTGTGCCTGTCGAGGCAATGCGCGCTGGAATCCCCGTCCTGGCGTCGAATACCGGCGGCCCGTTGGAAACGATCGTCGAGGGCGAAACAGGATGGCTCCGCGATGCCAAGAAGGACGCCGACTGGACAGCGGTCATGGATAAGGTGCTCTACGGAATGGACCAGAAGGAGTTCGACAGGATGTCCGTCGCGGCGAAAGAGAGGGTGGAACGGGAATTCTCCCTATCTGCCATGGGCGACCGACTCGAGGAGGAGATCTCGGACATGCTCGCGCGCGAGAGACGTCCATTCGCCGGACTCCAGCAGATTCTCGTCCTTTTGGCCTTATCCGGAGTCGCGCTCTCCCTGCTTGCTGCTTTTGCCCTGAAGACGATTTGAGTGTTGTTGCTGATAATACCCCCCGCTTCCATTACTTTGTACAGTACAATAGACACCATCCAATACAATACCCTCAATCATTCAATGGATCTACAAGTTATGAGTATAAGAGCTCACCGTTATCACCACGTGACCGCGCGCTCCGCACGCGACACGTGCATATCAATCCTTATCAGTAGACACAAGCTTCCCCCCAAAAACAACATCCAAAACAAGCCCTCCAGATCAAAATAATGCCAGAGGTAATAAACCTCATCTCCTCAACACCTCCACCCCCACCCCCGTCCTACCAACCCCGTCGCCCCTCTATCCCCTCATCCCCAATCCCCCCACCAAAGTCATTCACCCTCCCGATCCTCTCCTCAGACTGGGACCTCCCCGAACCCACCTACAACAATGACGACAACAACAACGACTCCAACGCCCCCAAACGACTGCGTCTAAGCGAAGAGCCCAGTCCTCGCAACCCGCCCTCGCCGAAACCAGCGCGCGCCTCGCATATCCCGGCGTCGAGGAACCCGCTGTTCCTATTCTCGGATGATATTCTGCCTTCGTCGGATGGGCCACGGGCTTGTGAGGGTGCGGAGGAGGATCCGATTGTCTTTACTTCGTCGGCTCCGGGGCCGGAGAGTGCGGCTCGGGTGAGGGAGGGGGGAGGACGCGGGGCGGATACGATTACGATTGATGATGACGATGATGATGATTATGATTTCGTTGGTGGGAATGGAGGTGTTAGGAGGGGAGATGCGCGCGATGAGATCGAGGGGTTTAGTGATGAGATCGGGATGCCGGATTTAAATGAGTTGCTTGGGTTGGATGCTACGGCGAATAAGCGGCCTGGGTTATCGAGTCGGACGGCGAGTTTGCTGGCGAGTCTTGATCGGTCGAAGTCGGGGTCTGGTGGAGGAGCGTCGTCGGGTCGGAGGGGGCGTGTTGATAAGGACGAGGAGGTGGATGAGGTGGAGGAAGTGGTTCCGTCTCGGAAGACTAAGGCACCGCGGAGGACGGCTACGAAGCCTACGAGTACCGATAAGGAAGCCAAGGCGCGGGAACGGGAGGCGAATAAAGCGCAGCGTGAGCGGGAGAAACAGCTAGAGAAGGAGCGGAAGCAGAAGGCCAAGGAGGAGAAAGCGCGGGAGAAACAACTTGCGGCTGATCTTGCGGAGGTGAATAAGCTGAAGGTGGATAAGAAGGAATCAACGCCGGAGATGATCATCGATCTTGCACGGGAATTCGAGGGAACGAGCGTTGGCAATCAGGCGGTTGAGTTCATGAAACGGCTCAAGGTCGAGCAGACGTTTTTCGACAGCGAGATTCCGAATGTCGTCAAGTGGCGGCGGAAGGTCACGGCCAGATACAACGATAACCTAGGCTACTGGGAACCATGTCCGTTTCATATCCGCGGAGAGGAACACGTTCTTGTTCTCTTAACGGCGCCAGAATTCGTCGATATGGTGGTAGCCACCTCACCAAACACAAACGACCTCGATCACCACGTCCACCGACTCAAATCCGCCTACCCCACCAGCACACCAATCTACCTAATCGAAGGTCTCACAGCCTGGATGCGCAAGAGCCAAAACTCCCGAAATAGAGCCTACCAAGCCGAAGTCCGCCGCCAATACTCACAATCCCAACCCCAAGACCAACCCACTACCACCACCAATCCCCGCCGCAAGAAAACAACAGCCAACAAGCCCGAAACAACGCCCTCAGTCAACGATGACACAATCGAAGACACGCTCCTATCCCTCCAAGTCACGCACTCCTGTCTCATCCACCACACCACCGCAGCACCCGAATCAGCCGAATGGATCAAAAACTTCACAGAACACATCTCGACCGTCCCCTACCGCCGCGAAAGAATGGAAGGCAATGACTCCGCCTTCTGCATGGACGGAGGCCAGGTCAAACCCGGCGAAAACAAATCCGATACCTTCGTCAAAATGCTCCAGGAAGTAACCCGTGTCACAGCATCCATGGCATACGGCATTACGACTCAATACCCAAGTGCTGTCGATCTAGTCCGCGGAATGCGAAGACATGGCCCGGCCATGTTGGAGGATGTAAAGGTATGTATGGGCTATCAACTTCCCTGCACTTGACTTGCAATATATCTAAATAAATACAACATGTCTGTGGAAATAAACTAACACGTCCCTATAGAAATCTGCAGACAGAAACGGCACACTAACAGATTCTCGTATCGGACCTGCGGCAAGTAAACGGCTTTACAAGGTCTTTATGGGTCTTGATCCGTCTGCGACTGATATCTGAGTATGGTTTGTATGGTAGATGTGATTATCTTGGTGATGATACCTTGTATATGGTATCTTGGTATCTTTTATTGGTTATTCATTTTCTTTAATCGGAGATATTGGAGTATATGGTGTCTAAGACGGGGTTGGGGCTTCTTGCTTGTCTGTTAGGTGGGATGTTTCTTTTCGTACGCTCATACGGTATCATGTATATGTTGCATAATTGTAATATGAAATGGACCAATCATAATGAATTCAAGAGTAGATACCATAACCTATGTTGCCAATTTCGCCTTGCCTGCCTATGACTGATGCAGAATAAATCATCCAATGTACGCCTCTATCCGGTATTGCATCCTGATGGAACTATATAAGAGTGAATGTAAGCAATTCAAACGGAAACGCCCCTGCGTTTCCAAGATCTCCAAGCGACACACCACGCGGCAACGGCCACCCATACGCTCAGCGTACATCCCAAGGCCCAGTATCCAAAGCATTTCCAGCCATGACACTGGCCATCTGTCGAGCCATTGCCTCCATCCGTGGCGTCTTGGTAAAAGCGGGAATAGACGAGGCCCCACAGGGCAGCGCCTGCTGCCGGGAACATGGCAACGATACCCCAGTTCGTGCCGAAGTTCTCAACGCCCCAGACCACGGAGATGATGATGGGGACGAGGGAGAATGCGCTCCCGTAACCAAAGCCGATAAGGCCTGTGGTTACGTGGGTCAATTCCGGGTGCTGGACTGGTAAGGGGGATGCGAGGATAAGATAACCAAGCGAGAGGAGAAGAGCGGATGGGAGGAGGAATGTTAGTCGGGATAAAGTAATTCGCTTTGAACCGGACGGTGAGCTGGGGCGCAGAGCTTCTCCATTAGTTGGGAACAGATGGGTTGCTGGGGGTGCGAAGAAATCCGACAAGGATCCTGTGAGGAGTCGGGCAATTGTTGAAGTAAGCGCAATAGTTGTCACATGCGTAGATGGTTTGCCGGCAGGGGAAGGAACATTGGAAGAGCTTGACTCTGGGGTCAGTGCTCCAACCACAGTGCCCAGCTAGAAAGGTCAGCAAATCGATGTACAATGGCGATGCGTGAGTGCCACTTACATTGTTGATGTATGCTTCACCTGGTCCTGTAACCAAGAAGAAGCCCAAGGCAAGCCACCACATCGTATGATCTTTGAGAAACACTTTTGTTTCCCAGTTCAATAGCCAGTTTTTCTTCCTGCGTTCCTCCTCCTCTCGTTCTTTCTCGAGCCTTGCTGCTTCCCTCTCTTCCTCACTTTGGGTCAGTGATAGCGTTCGTTCTTCGTCGTCACCATTATCGGACGGTGAGAACGTCCCGTAGGCAGCTCTAACCTCGCTTCTCGACCGGAAGAATTCGCTCTCTTCCAACAGGCCACTCCTCTCAAGTTCTTCAACTGCTTCATCAATGTATCTCTCCTCATCCTCATCCACAATCCGTAATCCAAAAGTCCCAATGACGCCAATACCAAAAAGCAATGCGGAGAGGAAAATGAAGTATCGGAAGACGTCTACATCGCCACGGCTGCCATCTTCTAACCGTTCATACAAGAAGTACGTACCCACTTGGCTCTGCCACATGCCACTAAGGCCAAAAGCAGCTATGGGGATGGCAAGCATAATGCCCTTGTGTTTGCCCCTGCCAAAGTTTTTGGCGCAGGTCGTGACGGCGGCCAAGTACATACAGCTCGTGGCAGTCCCGACGCACACGAAAGCGACTACCATCACCCAGAAGGGGTACCCATTTCCACCTGCATCTGGAGGTGGGCCGTTCTTATACACGATTGCAGCTAAAAGGTAACCTATTCCAAAAACCGTGCCGGAAAACAAAGCTAGCGGCGACGGGGTATACCGGTCACAGAGGTATCCGAAGATTGAGACGGGAAGATACATCGACACACCAGCAGCAATCGATACAGCATTTACTCGGAGCTGAGTGTAATGAAGACGGGTAAGAAACAAGGGGCCGTAAAGGGAGAACGCAGTGATGCTACCGGCTCCTAGGCTGCATCATCTTGTCAGCAAGACCGGTTGGCGCAGAATGTAACGAGATCTTCATATTGGGCTCACCAGGTTACTACCCCCAAGGCAAAGCTACATATCCGTACCACTTCCTTAGCCAGCCTGCGGCGATCCCTTTCCACTATTTCTTCAACAACATCGTTCAAGAGACCGTCTTCACTGTCACTATAACGGCGTGTAGAGATCCTAGATTCCGGTCGTGAGTGTGTATCTCTACCCTGTGTATCTCCACCAGAGTCATAGGTAGCCAGGATTGGACGGTTTGTGTCAAAGTCTCGTTTATCAATAGATGAGTCGCGGCCATTAAACGGCGACATTTTGTCGTCGGTCTGGCTAGTGGAGAGGAAGTGTAAAAAGGCGGTTTTCGTACAACAAAGACTTTAAAAACTATATATAGGCCGATTCGAGCTGGATAAGCTAGGATCCCGTATACTGTTCCTGTGAGCAACTGAGCAGTGAGAGGGGATCATTTGACTGAGCTCCGAGGCGAGGCTCCGCTACGTCACCGGGAGGTTTTAAGGAAAGGGCATGTTTATGGGAATAGATTTCGAAAAGAGTTATACAGAATAAACTCGAGGTAGACCTACCCACTCACACACACTAGAAACAAGATAGACAGGCGGACCTATGGAAATGAGGTAAGGGAATGAGGAGAAAGAGTCATGCATCTGCTGGCGATTACACCGCTTATCGCCGACTACACGTGACGTGTGCTTATCAGTCATTCAATATACCCCCTTTTAGGCAACTCCCTCGACTCAGTGACCCGCATACTGTATCAGAGTCTACTTAGGCGAAACCATAAAATTAAACATGTATGATTATGATGTTCTTGTCTAAAGCCTCCCACCATTTATGTACATTAGCATACTTCTGGAACGTCACCCTCATAGCTCAACATGGAAAAAGGTCCAGGGAATCGGACAAGTTCCCGGGAGGTATAATCAACAAGACATGTCCGAAATAGAAACAAAACCTAGACAGAAAAGAAAAAAAAAAATAAACAAGGACAAATTCATACACGCCATCAGAATCGAATCGCTCTCGCACGAAAGACCTTCTATGATGCTCCAGGCATTTATAGACAAGGGCTCTGAGGTGAGCATTGTGCCATGATCAATCGTCAGTATCGTATTATCGGTTGTCGAAAGACTCCTCCGCCGCATCCCTGGGGCGAGTCGTTAAAATGTCGTCGACATCATTGGACGTTGGCAGGGAAGAAAAGAACAGAAACAGATGGAACGATAACGCCTGGTCCATTGCATGCAATTTTGACGCCGTATCCCGTTGTTCTCAAATGATTCTTTGATCGACTGACTTGAAAGAGAATGCAAAGCCGCTAACTCCAAACTCGGTAAGGTGAAACAGACTGAAGAAAACGGTGAAGGGACCAAAACGAAGACAAAAGAGAGAAAAAAATGAAAAATGAAAAAAAGAATCCCAGAAATCAAGCAGTGGATATGGAACAACAGAAAAAACGTGGGGGACGTAGAAACAGTAGGATGCGAGACCAACACTAATAACTGACTTCACCCGGATCGCTTTCCACCACCCCTTCATCCCAATAGCGATCGGACAAATCTTCTTTGCCAGACACCTGGGATCTTAGAGCAATGGCCTCGCCCTCTCCTCGTTCAATATATTCGTCCTGGGTGAGCTCCTTCAAGATGCGCTGGAAATACATTCTGAGGGTCCGGAGGCCACGCAGATAACCGCGGTCGATATCATCCGGATGATGTGGGGGGCAGGGGGCATCCGGAGAAAGCTCATCTTCGCCAGTGACACAGTTTGCAAAGTCGACGATCTTCAGCTGAACATCCATGTTATTATGTCCCTCATCAGAGGTACGGCGTTGCAATGGAATTCGCTTGCTGTCACCACTCTTGTCATCCTGTGGAACCTTCTCAGGGGAAGACTGCTCGCCATCATAAAGGATCAAAAGACTGCTAGCGTAAAGCCGATACCGTTTCAGCTTTCGGATCATATTCTCTAGCTTGGACAGTTTTTCAAGGATGACAGGGATCTTCTTCGCCACGGTGGTATAGCTGACACCATCGTAGAGGAATCGGGTGAGAGCGTCCTGGAATTCACGCCCTGACTTTAGATCCCGACCGAAGTACTTGTCTTCAAACGTATATTCCTGTTTCTTCACATTCCAAGATTGCATGCCGCAGAGTCGGACACCTAGCTGCTGAGAGGTTGTGGACTGGCACTTCCGTCTTTGAGATTTCTTTTTCTTCTCATTAGCTTCGATTCCGTACTGGCGTGTTCCCATTTTGAGATCGAGGACGCAAGGCTTGTTCATGCCAGCAGTGAGATCTTCTAATAGCAAGAAAAATTGCACACGTTCATCCTTTCGTGTCTGTGCCTCTTTGGGGTTGGAAGGAAGGAGGAAGCGATTGTCCTCTTTTGGTTGAATGAAAATTTGATCCTTCGGTGGCATAGCGGCAACAGAGCCATCCTCAGCTTGTACTGCATCGGCTGTACCGGCCTCCACGGCTTCAATATTGGGTGACTTCACACTCTGAGGAGCCGTCGGCACCATTTGAGCATCCGCTTCCATGGAGAATATCTCGTCCTCTCCATCACCGCCATACCCATCATCTTCGAAGAACATGAGTTCGCCTTCTTTCTTACCCGGGCTCATGCTCCGTCGTCTTTGCAAACCACTTCCTGAATGACGGCGCCTTACCCGGCGAGACCGCGAGACAGAGTTAGAGCGTGGCTGGGACTCTTCTGTTCGAATTTGTTGGAGGCGGTTATGGTTCGAGTCTAACGCGGTAGACGCTGACGATGATAAGCCGGGGCCATCACCTGTTTGTTTCATAATATCTATAGCAGCCGACCGTGGTGGCTCATTGGGGACGGATGCATTGCGACGGCTACTAGCAGTGTGATCCTCCGATAAGTTGGCCCTCCTGCGCGTAACACTGTCCGAGGACATTCTTGGTAATGTGATGTGGCCTCGAGCATGACGCCGGTGGTGGTGAATGGCTGGAGGACTGAAGACCTCTCGGAGAACCTGCTCCTGCAGCTTGCGGTTGACCGTCGTGGCACCCCAGCTAATCTTGGGCTTTTGGGGAGGAGTGCCTGTGTCGTCCAGAGATCCATTCTTCAGCCTTTGTTCGCCAGTGATCGCTG